GGTTAGAGCTGGGACCAAATTTACTCCCTGCACCTTCCCTTGCTCTACTCCTATTTTCTCTACCCTAAACCCCCTTCACCGTCACCCCCTTCACCGTCCACCACTGGTTCTAAGTCCTCCATGTTTGACACGTGTCACAAATATAGCGCCCAACCCGCCCTCCCGCTCCGCAATGGCGAAAAGTATAGGTAATCACACATCTGAGCTAACAAAAATGACATGTGGAGTTCCCCAAGGCTCCATTCTGGGGCCTCTTTTGTTTTAACATTTACATGCTTCCACTGGCTCAGATTATGAAAAACAACAAAATATGTTACCATAATTATGCAGATGACACACAGATATACATAAGGGACTATGATCCCATAGAAGTGCTGATTAACTGTATTGAACAGGTCAACGGTTGGAGGTGCCAGAATTTTCTTCAATTAAACAAAGATAAAACTGAAGTTATTGTTTTTGGAGCCAGGGAGGAACGATTGAAAGTCAGTGCTCAGCTTCCATCTATAATGTTAAGAACCACGAATCAAGCAAGAAATCTCAGACCTGAATTTGAGGAGCCACATTAAGACAATTACAAAGTCAGCCTGCTATCACCTGAAGAATATATCAAGGATTAAAGGACTTATGTCTCAGCAAGACCTGGAAAAACTTATCCATGCAATTATCTTCAGTCGACTCGACTACTGTAACGGTGTCTTTACACGGCTCCATAAGAAATCCATCAGACAGCTACAGCTGATTCAGACCGCAGCTGCTCGAGTCCTCACTAAGACCAAAAAAGTGGATCACATCACTCCAGTTCTGAGGTCTTTACACTGGCTTCCTGTATGTCAAAGACTTGATTTCAAAATCCTGCTTTTGGAGCAGTTAAAAGCTCATTGCTCCAGGTGAAGCTTGAACTCACAATCTCAGCATCACTCTGCAGGTTACTGTCTTACAAATACCACACGCTGACCGAATACACCACTGGAGCCGTTGAATGCAGCCTCAAAATCTTGACTCACCTCACACACTGTTTTCAGTTTTGTCAATCACCATGGTTAGTACTTCTGAAACACAAAGTAACCACATGAAGCCCATCGCATTTAAAAATGTAAACAGCAGGTGTGCATGGCTTCTGTCTCAGTTATGGAGAGATGAAATGAATTCATTGTGAAGCTGACATTTATCAGTGCTTCTTAAAATTAAGTCAAAAGAGACGAGGAGTTCATGAAGGAGGATGAGGGCTTGGAGCTCCAAGAGTTGTTTTAGACGTGTTCTTTTAATACATTACATGTGACACACACATAAACACTTCTCATTTTTGTGAAGGAAACAAATGCACCACAAGTTATTTGCAAATTCCGTCATGTTTACATGAGAGATGCTGTCTGTTTTTTTAAGGAAACACATGGAGGCTTATGTCAATATGGAGAATGTATTTTTATAGACTGACAGATATGTCTGAGTGATCATTAGATGGCATGTGCTGTCATTTCACCTCACCTGCTGCAGGTAAAAGTTTCCTGCTCCAGGTGAGGCTCGAACTCACAACCTCGGCATCACTCTGCAGGTTACAGTCTTATAAGTACCGCGCGCTGACCGATTGCGCCACAGTAGCTCAGATGCTGTTAACCAGGTGACTCTGCCAGGGCTTAATCAATCCCAATCTTCTACTTGAAGTTGAATTATATTGCCTGTGCTGTCGTTTCACCTCACCTGCTGCAGGTAAAAGCTCCCTGCTCCAGGTGAGGCTCGAACTCACAACCTCGGCATCACTCTGCAGGTTACTGTCTTATAAGTACCGCGCGCTGACCGATTGCGCCACTGGAGCTCAGATGCTGTTAACCAGGTGACTCTGCCGGGGCTTAATCAAGTCCCGGCTCGCATCCCAGCAGCAACATGCCACAGGCCTGCCCTCTTTGTCCAAAGCCATCCGATGGCTTTCTTTGCGGTTTCAGTAACCCCCTCTGTACTGCCCCGGTGATTCCAAACACAGTCAGAGCTTTGCTGAGTGAGAGCCCGGCTGGCCCCTGGCAGCCCACTACATTTGTCTCACAGAGAGCCTGCCAGCCTCGGCTTCTGCAGTTTCCTCTTGTGAGCCTCACCCATGTGTTCTTCCTGGGGCACTGTCAGCCCCCACATGGTCATCCATGGTGGTGGAGTCTGAGAAGAGGATCATGTCTGGGCAGAGTGTTGTTTGAATGATGTGATCAGGGAACTCTAGATGTTTTCAATATCAACTCCCAGCTGCCAGTGTGCGGCTGGATCCAAAAAACATACTTGTGACTGATCTTTACAATGAATCTGAACAAACCGTGATGAACCTGACCAAATTCCTTCATGTTCACATTAGAGATGCTGGTCTGCTGTCAGTTGATTTTCTAAAGCAAAGACACAAAGAAGAAGACATAACACAACATGCCAGAAACCTTAAAGGAGAGCCACCTCAGCCGATCAGAGATCTCTGATCACGGGAGACATCTGAGCCAAGAGGAAGAGCCTCCACCTCCCTCACTGAAGACCAACAGTGAGGATTCACCATCTTTACCCCCTCAATCCCCATCTAGGTCACCCTAATCTTCAGACTCCCTTTCTCCCCTCTCCCCCCTGTTGGACTTCACTGATCACATGGAAGACCTGGTTAGAGCTGGGACCAAATTTACTCCCTGCACCTTCCCTTGCTCTACTCCTATTTTCTCTACCCTAAACCCCCTTCACCGTCACCCCCTTCACCGTCCACCACTGGTTCTAAGTCCTCCATGTTTGACACGTGTCACAAATATAGCGCCCAACCCGCCCTCCCGCTCCGCAATGGCGAAAAGTATAGGTAATCACACATCTGAGCTAACAAAAATGACATGTGGAGTTCCCCAAGGCTCCATTCTGGGGCCTCTTTTGTTTTAACATTTACATGCTTCCACTGGCTCAGATTATGAAAAACAACAAAATATGTTACCATAATTATGCAGATGACACACAGATATACATAAGGGACTATGATCCCATAGAAGTGCTGATTAACTGTATTGAACAGGTCAACGGTTGGAGGTGCCAGAATTTTCTTCAATTAAACAAAGATAAAACTGAAGTTATTGTTTTTGGAGCCAGGGAGGAACGATTGAAAGTCAGTGCTCAGCTTCCATCTATAATGTTAAGAACCACGAATCAAGCAAGAAATCTCAGACCTGAATTTGAGGAGCCACATTAAGACAATTACAAAGTCAGCCTGCTATCACCTGAAGAATATATCAAGGATTGAAGGACTTATGTCTCAGCAAGACCTGGAAAAACTTATCCATGCAATTATCTTCAGTCGACTCGACTACTGTAACGGTGTCTTTACACGGCTCCATAAGAAATCCATCAGACAGCTACAGCTGATTCAGACCGCAGCTGCTCGAGTCCTCACTAAGACCAAAAAAGTGGATCACATCACTCCAGTTCTGAGGTCTTTACACTGGCTTCCTGTATGTCAAAGACTTGATTTCAAAATCCTGCTTTTGGAGCAGTTAAAAGCTCATTGCTCCAGGTGAAGCTTGAACTCACAATCTCAGCATCACTCTGCAGGTTACTGTCTTACAAATACCACACGCTGACCGAATACACCACTGGAGCCATTGAATACAGCCTCAAAATCTTGACTCACCTCACACACTGTTTTCAGTTTTGTCAATCACCATGGTTAGTACTTCTGAAACACAAAGTAACCACATGAAGCCCATCGCATTTAAAAATGTAAACAGCAGGTGTGCATGGCTTCTCTCTCAGTTATGGAGAGATGAAATGAATTCATTGTGAAGCTGACATTTATCAGTGCTTCTTAAAATTAAGTCAAAAGAGACGAGGAGTTCATGAAGGAGGATGAGGGCTTGGAGCTCCAAGAGTTGTTTTAGACGTGTTCTTTTAATACATTACATGTGACACACACATAAACACTTCTCATTTTTGTGAAGGAAACAAATGCACCACAAGTTATTTGCAAATTCCGTCATGTTTACATGAGAGATGCTGTCTGTTTTTTTAAGGAAACACATGGAGGCTTATGTCAATATTGAGAATGTATTTTTATAGACTGACAGATATGTCTGAGTGATCATTAGATGGCATGTGCTGTCATTTCACCTCACCTGCTGCAGGTAAAAGTTTCCTGCTCCAGGTGAGGCTCGAACTCACAACCTCGGCATCACTCTGCAGGTTACAGTCTTATAAGTACCGCGCGCTGACCGATTGCGCCACAGGAGCTCAGATGCTGTTAACCAGGTGACTCTGCCAGGGCTTAATCAATCCCAATCTTCTACTTGAAGTTGAATTATATTGCCTGTGCTGTCATTTCACCTCACCTGCTGCAGGTAAAAGTTTCCTGCTCCAGGTGAGGCTCGAACTCACAACCTCGGCATCACTCTGCAGGTTACTGTCTTATAAGTACCGCGCGCTGACCGATTGCGCCACAGGAGCTCAGATGCTGTTAACCAGGTGACTCTGCCAGGGCTTAATCAATCCCAATCTTCTACTTGAAGTTGAATTATATTGCCTGTGCTGTCGTTTCACCTCACCTGCTGCAGGTAAAAGCTCCCTGCTCCAGGTGAGGCTCGAACTCACAACCTCGGCATCACTCTGCAGGTTACTGTCTTATAAGTACCGCGCGCTGACCGATTGCGCCACTGGAGCTCAGATGCTATTAACCAGGTGACTCTGCCGGGGCTTAATCAAGTCCCGGCTCGCATCCCAGCAGCAACATGCCACAGGCCTGCCCTCTTTGTCCAAAGCCATCCGATGGCTTTCTTTGCGGTTTCAGTAACCCCCTCTGTACTGCCCCGGTGATTCCAAACACAGTCAGAGCTTTGCTGAGTGAGAGCCCGGCTGGCCCCTGGCAGCCCACTACATTTGTCTCACAGAGAGCCTGCCAGCCTCGGCTTCTGCAGTTTCCTCTTGTGAGCCTCACCCATGTGTTCTTCCTGGGGCACTGTCAGCCCCCACATGGTCATCCATGGTGGTGGAGTCTGAGAAGAGGATCATGTCTGGGCAGAGTGTTGTTTGAGTGATGTGATCAGGGAACTCTAGATGTTTTCAATATCAACTCCCAGCTGCCAGTGTGGGGCTGTGGAGAGTTGGCATGGTGTTGTCTGTGGTAGTGAATTGGACTTCTCTCTAGCTTTGAGAAAAAGGTTTTCTTCTGGGGTGATGTTTATTGGACTTGTGGGTTGTGGTGGTCACTTCTGCAATTGCCTTCAGCACCTGGTCATGGCGCCAACGGTAGCAACCATCAGCCAAGTCTTGAGACAGCTGCAGAGGAGCCTCTTCCTCTCCCATCACAAAGAGGGCAGGAAGGCGTTCCATTCTCACCCATGTGTGAAGGTTTGCTGGACCTGTTAAGGTGAGAATGGAACCGAACAAACTGTGATGAACCTGATTTAACCAAATTGGTCATTATATTGCCTGCTGTCATTTCACCTCACCTGCTGCAGGTAAAGATTTCCTGCTCCAGGTGAGGTTTTTCAGAAGGTTGTCTAAGGATGTCTGTGCAGTAAGACAGGAGCAACCACCACCAGAGAGCATAAGCTCAGTGCGGGTGAGAGAGGGTAGCTTGTGCCAGTGAGGTTATCTCATAGCGGCCACCCATCAGCTCCAGAAGGCTCTGCAGTAATTATGGTGACCTTGCATGATCCCTTGTGCTTTAACAGTTTAACTGTCAACAGTGACAGTGATACAAGAGGTTGGTCTCTTGAGTTATTCACTTTTAAACTTTAATAGATTGTTTGAAAACATGCAATGTCCAGGACACATCTACAACAGATGCAGTGTTTCATTTTTGAAATATGAAATATTTTTAATTGACTTTGTTTGATCTTGTGCTGCTAGCTGTTACCCAGTGCAGTGATGAGGGCTGACTCAGCATAACAAGGGGCCTTCATGAGTTTATCAAAAATGCACAGTCATGCTTTTTGTCTAAAAGTGGTAGGCAGGACACACAGCTACAATGATGTAAAGTGAAGAGGAAAGCATCTTAAACCACTAATTTACCATAATTTTAGCCAACATTATTAAACTATTATACTCATTTTGTTTTTTCTTTTAATACATTATAAAGGACACATATACGCACTTCTCATTTTTGTAAAAGAACAACTCCGCTACAATTGATTTGCTTGAATGTTATTTTTCATGTTGAATGTTTGCAGTACTTGCACTGGAAAAAAAGACATAGCAAGAAAAAAACATACTTGTGACTGATCTTTACAGTGAAGCTGAACAAACTGTGATGAACCTGATTTAACCAAATTCCGTCATATTCACATTAGAGACGCTGATCTGCCATCAGTTCATTTTATAAGGGAAACAGAGGAAGGGGCTATGTCAAGTTTCAGAACAGAAAGGATTATTACAGGCAGATTTGTCTGAGTGATCATTTGGATAATTAAATTGCAGGTAAAACTCTTCTGCTCCAGGCACCAGATTGCGCCACTGGAGCCCTTCAGCACAGGTTTACTATCTTGATTGACCAAACACTCTGTTGACAGTCTAATCTAAGCAAATCACTTAAGTCATTCAGTCTCACTGGAAAACCATTGGTTAACAGGACAAAAAAGCATCATGCATTAGAGCTGCTGTAATGCCTTTGGTAGGTTTGGTAACTTGTTGTATTTTTTAAGTTCAGCAGTTGCTGAGATTACCATGTGGAAATCAAAATACCTTCAAATAGTGGTCAACGTCTACGTAGCAGGTTCATGTTCCCTTTTTTTTTGTCAGAGTAGTCGAATCATCCAAATAAGTAATGTGATGATCAGATCTCACAGTTTATTATTTGATTTTCATTGTTGGGTAAGTGTTATTTAGAGCTTTTGTTAACTACCACAGTAAATCTGAACTGTTCCGAGGTTTAACTGGGGCATCTCTAGCATGTTCATTCAATACAAAAGAAGTGATTTATTATCGGGTTAGTAGGCTAACAAGTACTGTTCCCCTCTGGTTCTTGTTATCCTAGGCAGAAGCAAAGTCTGATATGTCAGTGAGTCTTGACAAATCATGTTTATATGGCCAGTTTCCTGCGCCAGCTGTCACACTGGTGTAGCTCAGTGGTTACCTCAAACAACAAGCCTCTCAGGAGAACACTTTCTCTCTCCATGGCGATCAAACCATGGCCACTGTCCAGTGTCTTTTTCTCACTCTGGTCTGACCTGCTGTCTTTCATTCTGTCTCAGTACATTGGTCTCAGCTTGGGCCTCAAGACCTTATTGACTTATTGTGGAACCAAACACGCATCACAGCACCATATCAGCTGCCATACTATCACTCTAACAGGGCATGGACATCATCTAGTTGAGTATTAGATGACCACCAGATGGAGACAATCACCAGGGGGAGAATCAAAGGGAATGAGTTGATTTTTGGATTTGAATTTGCCATTTTAATTTTTTTGCAACTGCACATTTTAATACAGAACTCTTTATAAAATGGACAGGAAATCAGGGGTTTTAAGGTTTTAGTGATCCCCACAAACTCTATCTGCAAGCTCATGACCATGTTTTCGGTGCACAACTGTGCGAACAGTTTCAAATATTTGGGATTTTTTATAAATAAAAAACTATTATTGAAATAAAATCTTAATTAATACATTAATTCAGATAATACCAGACTTTTATGATCATAGATTTTACTTGCCCATTGAATGAAATCATCTAACATGGGTCGTAAGTCATAAATGTGGACTGCTACACTGAAAAACCCTAAAAGAAAACACACACACAACTTTTTCTTGAATCCTTCCCATTCTCTAATTCAGCAAAGGTTGCATTCATGGAGGACAAAACCTGGCTTAAGCATCACTGAATAAACAAATACAGAAATAAATGCTAGATAAATAAATAAATAAATAAATAAATAAAGTATTTCATAACTAAAATATACATAAAATATATATAAATACATGAAAGCAATATATAAACCATTAACTCAATAAGTTAATGTTGGTAATCAAATGGGAATCAACTGCTTTTATTCATATGTTGTGAAGTATAATGGCTGGGCGGTTGAATGTCTGAAGTTTTTGGTATGTCATGGGCAACTTATTGACTTTTATTTATTTTCTTGCTGCCATTGTTGCAGACCTCTTTTAAGCAACATTCACACGTAGACCTTGAACAAAAAGGAGTTGAATTGTGGAGAATCTAAATAATCTAATATATATTGCATTATAATATCCTCCAGATCTAAGCACAAGTCATTTCAATTCAATCAATTTATTTATTTATTTTTATTATTTAATAGGTCCATTAGCCTCCACCTCTACCTCCATCATTGGTCCAAGAAGCTGACAATGCTGGTAAGTTTAGGCCTACATCAACAATAACTAAACAATTATTTACCTCTAGCAACACTCAGTGTATGAACATGTCAATTTTCTGAAATTACTAATTTTCTTTGTTAATCTCCCTCATAGGTCTACCTGTTCCTACTGTCTCTCCAGTTCTATCTCACAAAGGCTCCGCGCTCTATTGGACTCCTCCAATCACACGCACACACTTGCCCACTGAAATTTTATCGTGCACGTAGCCGACCAATAGGACGTTGCTACTGATACGTGGGTGATGTATAAATAGCAGTGTCCCTACTGCCTCAGCATTAGTGATGGCAAGTTCGAGTCTTTTGACAGATTTGTTCATTCAAATCTCGTTTATTAAAATGAACAAATTCTTTTTTGAGTCATTTCATTCATTTGAACTAGGCTGGTTATTGCGGCGCTGCAGCCCTCTAGTGGGCGATTAAAAAACAACGCCGTTCTGAAACACGTAAGGCTGCCTAGCTTGCTATCTAACCTAACCCTAACCCTAACCCTAAGTATAATGCACAAATTCGCCTCTCGATTACTGTATATCATCATTATATAAACCCCCATAGGCCCACAACCAAATTCAAACCATTTAAAAACCACAGAAATATGTTGTCTATATGCAATCCACTACTTCCATTTTCACAGTCTTTCCCGAGTATACAACCAGACCAGCCACATAAAGGCTTATGTATATAATTAATATCATTATCTCATACAGTAGCCTAACGTCCTTATCCATGAGTAAAATATTAATATCAGATTTGCAGTAAATATATTGAAGTAATAAGCTTGATACACTATGTGAATAAACACACTCTTATTAAAATTCAACCAATTTAATAATGATCTGGATCAAGCCACCAAGTTGCTGCTAGGGAGGGAAGGGCGCGGGGGTGGGGGTCTTCTGGCCTGACCTGGCCTGAGCGGTATGGCCTCCTGGGTGTGGGCGGACCTTCGGGTCTGGGCTGTTGGGCCGTTCTGTCCTTGGGCGGGGTCCAATTCTATCTAATTCTGTTCCGTCTGTGTCTATGTGTCTAATTACACATTAGACACAGAGGGCTTGGGGGGTGGGAGGGGCACGATGGGAGGCTCCACTACCTGACAGTTGTGGGGTGCCTGTTTCACAACTACCCTCCGATTTTAATTGCACCTTAGTTACCACACACCTTATCTTTACTCCACCATACAACACTTCACAATCCATGACATGCATCCAACACAAAACAATACATTTACAGAGGCAGGCAGAGGGGTTGAAGGAGTGGGGGAGATTCTCATTGGCCTCGTGTCCTACCCCTGGTGCTGTGGGGTTGGTGACGGCCTTGCCTGATCTGGGGTGGGCTGGGGGGGCTCGGGGCTCCCCTGGCGTGGGGGCCCGCTCTTGACCTAGGGTTCTGGGGACTCGGGCTTGTGGCCTTTGCTCATTTCTGGGCGGGTGGTGTGTCCCTGGGCCTGGGGGCCCGTTGTCTCCTCTCCTCGCCTGGGCCCTCTTCGGCAGAGGTGAGGCTCCCGCTGCTTCCCCCTGGCAGCTCTCTCACAGTGGGGGCATTCGGGAGTCTCTGGGGCGCATGGCCGGCGTTGTCGGGGTAGGTTTTGGTGCTCCTCCTTGGGGGTGCTTGACTGGGGGGGCTGGGCCCCCGTCCGGGGATGAGATCGGCCTTGGGGGCTGCTGGCACTGCCTGCAATGTAGGGAGGGATGCCTCTTGCTGGGCTGGGGGACCGTTGGCCTGGTTCTCCCGCGTTATCGCTCCCTGGCGGCAGGGAGCTTCCCGGCACGGCTTTCTACTGTTCTTCCTTGGGGCGGGGTACAGCTTCCCCCGGGACATGCGGTCTGGGGTCCTTTGCGCTTTGGGGGGTCGCAGGGTGCCCTGGCTTCTGGGGGTGGGGGTCTATGCACGGGTTGATCCGATTGCGGTTTGGTGGGCTGCGGTGGGATTGTGGGGCGATTGTCGATGCATCTTGATGCATTGTGCTTTTTCCCTGGGCAGGGTCTCTGGATGGCTGCTGGGCGTTTAGTTTGTGCATTGGAGTCCGGGGGAGGCATTTCCTCGTTGGCTTGGAGGGATCTGTTTGCGTCCCTGTTTTGCTTCGTTGGCCTCGGATCCATGCTTCCCCATTTCTCTGTCGGCCAGTTGTTGGACCCCTCTGGATACTGAGGTATATAGTTAGTTTTCGGGATGTGCAGTGTGGGTGCGGGGCAGGGCTGTGCTCCGGTTTGTTCTGGGTTTGTGCCTGGAGTTCTCGGCCCTTGACGGGTGGGTGGGTTGTTGGTGGCATGCAGCTGAGCTAGTTGATTTTGCCTCGTTGCTGGTTTGGCTGGTGTTGCACGGCGGCCGGGGGGCGTGCTGGGCATGGGGGATGTCGGCTGGCACCGGCGGCCTTAGTTTTTTGGTTGGGGGGACGGCGGACTTTTATTGGCACGGTGACCTGTGCGGCGTGTTTGCTGCCGGGCTGGGACTTGCTGCTGGTGTTTCTCTCGGCTGGCTTTCGCTGTTGTGTTGTTCCGTTTGTTCTCTCTCATTTGCCCGACCTCGCACGCGGAATTCGCAGGGGGCTGCTGGGCATTGGGTGTCGCCGTGCTCGCGCAGTGTGCGCGTTGGGCTCGTCACTTGTGCATTGGTGTTGATGATTGCGTGGCATTTGGGCATATTCGTTGTTCGCTGCATGGCGGTGGGGTGCTGGGTGGGGGTGAAGCACTGGTCTATGTTGTATGCGCGCCGCGGTCGGTCCGGGCGCTGCTCTTCCGCAGGTTGCGCTTTTTGCGTTCTGTCGGCATTACGTTGTCAACTGGCATTTGGGTCGGGGTCTTCCGCGTTTGCATCGCGGTGCATCTGGGAGTCTTTGTTTTTTTTGATTGATTTATTCTTTTTCTTTCTCCCACCCCTATTGGCTACTGGGGTTCTTGCCTGCCTGTTGCTGGGGTAAGTGTGGCACAGTCGTGGCGTCCCACTCTCACTAACAACTACATTCTTTAACAGACTTATGCGCACACACATGTACACACATACATACAGACACATTCACCCACACGCACACAGACACAATCAGTCTCACACATAGACACAAACAAATTTAGGTTGTCCCTGGTAGAATTATTCCTGATGCTTTTCTTTCAGTTACTTCTTTAAATTAATTGTTATTATTCCAGCTCTCGTGGCTGTGCTGTGTTGCTTATTTAGTATGCTGGACTTTTTCTTGTTTTCATTTTTCTCTTAGTTGTCTTACTATGTCAGCTGTTCATTGCTGCTGTTCGGCTGGTTGTCTTTTACTATTATTATTATTTTTATTGTTTGTTTTTGTTTGTGTTTGTTTGTTGTTGTTTTTCTCCTCCCCAAGCCCCCCTCTCTGTTCTATTGCAGGTTTCGTTGCTTTCTGCAATTGGTGTTTCCCACTGCTTTTCCCTGTTGTCCCCACCTTCCATCCCCCTTCTCTTGCGGGTCTTATCCTTTCTCTGTGCTGCCTGTTTGTGCCCCCCCATCCCCGTGTCTGCCCCCCTGTCCGGCCCGGTGACAAATCAATACATAATTAAATAAATAATAAAACAGACAAAGGAGTATATTAATACTCTCTTGTTAAAGTAAAATCTGTCTGGCACAATATGGTATCCACGTCATCATACTCTATACCAGGCTGCTGGGCAGGACAGGCTTAAAAAAAAAAAAAAGAACCCCGTCAGGGCTCTGAAATGGACCCAGAACAACTCTCATCAGCTGTTAGGTGTAATGTTAAACACTAGCAGGACTAAAGTTATAGTGCGGCTGTGTTAAAACTATAACTTAGCACAACATAACTGCGCTGTAATAACGTTATGCTTTATAAAATGTCACATAATTAACAAAATAGCTATATAATGTCAGTCCAGTGACTGTTACCTGACAGCCGACCTGCCTCTCATTCTCTGGCGCCGGCAGTCACTCAGCCTGCCGAGTGAACGAAAGACTGAGGAGGACCCATGTGAGTTAATTCCTGCTCCACAGTAGCTGTCACGTGACAAATGAACGACTCAGACCTAGAGACCCACAGTTGCTATGAGTTGTGAACTAATCAGTTCTGTTTTCTGTGCTGACGGAGCCCATGCAGCTGCCGTGTGATGAGTGAACGTGAGAGTCCAAGATCCTTCACGCATGCGTGAAAATGAACGAATCACTCACTGAGACAACCCGTACCTCCCGAGTCATACACACGATTAGGTCTTATGAACAAAACGTTCATAAGACCAAAACAAAACACAACACTACTCAGCATCCTTTTTTCTTCAGCAAACGAAGAGGGAGGTGATCCATGTGACGAGTCCAGGCCCCCACCCCCCGCCAGCCAACCTGCGGATGGGAAAGGGAGCGACTGGCCAAGTGACCGTTATGGAGGAATAGGGGCCTGCTGACGCTGCCACAATCCCCCATCTGGTGTTCAAGACACCATTGTTTGACATGTGCTGCTTGTGTACACTATGGTAAGGCTTTTGAGAATATGGAAACTGTTTTTTGAGTATAACATGTGAATTACATTCCTCAAAGAGCTAAGTTAACTTCTCTCATCAAAGAGCTAACGTTAACTCCTGGGGTGAGGCTAAGGGTTCGCCCTGCGTCCTTGTGTTCACAAAGCCTCTGTTCTAGCATGTGCTGCTTGTGTGTACACTGTGGTGATGCCTGTGAATGTTAAACTGTTTATTAGAAACACATTACATTCTTCTAGCCGTGTTGAATGTGAGAACAAAGACTGGGGCTCCTGCCTGACCCCGGCCTGTTGAACTCTAAAAAGCCTGAATTTTAGTTATTTCAAACAAAGGACAGTAAAACAGGCACCAAGGCCCATTTCACACCTAGTTGCGAAATGGTGAGTCAGACATAAAAGAAGAGCCACTATTGGCTGTGCTTGTAATCCTGCAGGTCGCCCTGGTAACACAGCCGGCGCGCCCCCCTCAGGTATAAGTAGGCCTTAGCGCAGCCAGCACATTGTCTTTCCACAACTGCATGAGCAGTGATAGAAGGCACTCTCAACGTTGATTTATTTTTATTTTTCTCTTTTGTTCCTGAACACAGACTCAAACTCGCTGGTCGAGCGCTGCTCTGTTACCTTTCCTCGTTTTCTTCCTCTTTCTCTGTGTGTAAACACACATTCACCTTTTGGATCCTGAGATTCCTTGTTGTTTAACGAGGGATCATTACCTGCAGAAGAAGACGGATAGCTAAACTCTGTGCTTAATAGGGAAGAAGATAACCTCACGGCCTACCTTCCCTAATTTTGAGTCGATTGGACTGTTTCCACCCGCTGCTGCTGCTGGAACAGTGCCGTGAACCCGCTACCGAGCGGTAACCCGGCCTCGGCAGGATCCGATCAGAGAAATACCTCTGGCTAGATATTGCTGTGTTTTACTTGCTCAAGCACACTGTGTTAACATCATCCCGGCCACTAGCTGACCGGGGTTTTTACAGATTTCAGCCGTCTGTGAAAGTGATCGCTAAATATCCTTTATCAAAGTTA